CCCGGCGTGCCTCCCCCCCCCCCCCCCCCCGCCTCCACCTGAGCACCTGCACACCTAGCTATAAGACGTGTTTTTGAACATATGCTCTGTGGCAGGCAGAACCTCAGGCACTAGAGGAAACACAGGAGACAGAGCATGTCTATTGGAAGCAAAACTGTAGAGGAGGAAGGCCATAAGAACTATGTGTAGTGGGGTGCGGGGTTCACCGCTATCATACTGCTGTTTAGAGGTAAAGGCAGGAGGACTTCACGTGTGAGGACAGTCTGTGTTATACATGGAGACTCTATCTCGGAAACATACACGGTAGGCTGAAGAGATGACTCAGAGTTAAGAACCCTTGCCTTCTGGACAACCCAGGTTCAGTTCCTGGCATTGTGTGTTTGCACAAGCAAAAGTAACTACACTGGGTTGTTCACATCTTCTGTAGCTCCAGCTCTAGGGTATCCAGAGTCCTCTTCTGGCTTCCATAGGCATCCACATACACCTGGCATCTACACACACGGGTGTACAGGCATGTGCTTGTGCACACGTGCACACAGATCTTAAACATACAGATAAACATGTGCTACATGGTCACTGCTAGCAAGAAAAATAGCTTAGGTTAGGGATGAAGAGTGGTACCTGAACGGGAAAGATGTCTGCTCAACGTTTGAAAGGAAAGAGTGGAGGGGAGAGCAGCGGGGGCAGGTGGCGAGAAATCACACCGACACTGGCTGGTGTGCAGCATGGTGTGGTCAGGGGAGTGTGGAGGATGAGGCCAGGCGTGCAGAGCCTTCCATGTTGTCCTGAAGACTTGGAGAGCCTTTGGTTTTGCAGTGTGGGGGAATCCAGCCTAGGCCTCTGGATGCCGGGGATGTCCCCATCTAAGTCCCCAACTTTTGAGCTCCTGGGTACTGGGGATGCCGCTGAGCTAAGCCCCCAGGTCCTGAGTTCCTGGATGCTGGGGTTCCAACCTAGGACTGCTGGCTGCCCGGGATGCCGCCCAGTGCCTTCCCCAAGTCCGGAGACTTGGTTCTGTATTTGGAGATATTGGTTACTGTTTTAGATTTTATTTTCATTTTTATGTGTAAGAATGTGTGTATGTGCCTGGTACCCACAGAGACCAGATTAGGGTGTTTGGTGCCCTGGAACTGGAGTTGTGGATGGTTGTGAACCACCTTGTGGGTGCTGGGAACTGAACCCAGGTCTTCTACAAGAGCAACAAGTACTCTTGACCACTAAGCCATCTTTCCAGCTCCTCTCAGAAGATTTTACCTACATACATACATACATACACACACACACACACACACACACACACACACACTTTTTAAAGGGCTTTTTTCACTTGTATTTGTGGGTGTATGTATGCATGTGTGACGTTTCATGTATATGTGGAGGTTGGTGGAATTGGTTCTCTCTGTCCACCATATGGGTGCCAGATTTGGTATCAAGTGTCTTCACCTGCTGAATCACCTCGCTCCCTATGTATGTATGTATGTATGTATGTATGTATGTATGTATGTATGTATACATATATGTATACAAAATATATAAAATTTTATATATATATTGGAGACAAGTTTCTCTGTATAACACCCTGGCTGTCCTAGAACTTGCTCTATAGACCAGGCTGACCTTGAACTCACAGGTGCCTGCTTCTCCTCCCAAGTACTGGGATTAAAGGTGTGCACCACCACTGCGCCACCACCGTGCCACCACTGTCCAGCTGCCATTTATTTATATTTTTAAGAGCTGAAGAACAGGGAGGTAACGCGTCTGAATTTTGTCATTCCCGATCTTCCCAGGCACGCTGGTGATGCCCTTGCCCTCAGCACTCAGGCAGTGTGCAGTGGTGGACGATTCACACACACAGAAAATGCTGCTGTCACTAGGTTGTGTTTTCTAGGCTCAGATGGCCAGGTTACATCTCCTCTATAAACTGGAGCAGTGAAACGGCCTACAGACCGCTTTAAAGCATAGGAGATGTTAGCATCTGGGATACTTGGCACCCAGCTCCTGTCGAGAGTCTTTCCCAGTTTATTCCTTAGGGTCCTTAGTTGGGAGGTAAGGTGTGGGGTGGGGGCAGGGGCGCACTGGGAGGTGTCAGAGCAGGGTGGAAAGGCAGTGGGTTTTTCAGGCACAGGTTAAGTTGGGCAAGAGCCTAGATCATTTCAGCGGTTGGAGCTTTAGTGGGCAGTGTAGACAGTGTGGAGAACAGATCCACAGGCCTGAGTGGGTGGAGATCGCAGATGGGCAGGGACACCAGGGCTTCTGGACCCCATTACTGTTGTGGGTTGCTCACATCATGTGAAGGACAGTGACACTTGCCTCTTAGGAGCAAAGTGACCTTACCCAAGGGAGTTGGGGTGGTTTGGAAGTGGCCCTGCTTTGGGGGGACCCCCCCTAATATATTCTAGGCCTGTGGTCTTCCAAAGCCTCTACAGCAGTGGTTCACAACCTGCAGGTCGTGACCCTTGCATGGGTTGAACGACCCTTTACAGGGGTCTCCTTAGAGCATCAGAAATCAGATACTCACATTCTGATTCATGACAGTAGTGAAATTACGGTTCTGTGTAGCAGTGGAAACATTGCTAGGGCTGGGGTCAGTACAACATGAGGAACTGTGTTAAAGGGTCACGGCATTAGGAAGGCTGAGAACCGCTGGTCTAAGAGGGGCAGAGGGCAGATCTCAGAAGTAGGGCCCCCAGAGGGATGGAGCAGGACTTGAAGTCCCTAAACAGGCCAGAGGCGGCTTGCCCTTGGGAATGGGCCAGCAACCAACATGGGCTTACTCCCATTGGCAGCTGTGGCAGCTCAAAGAGGTGGCATTCAGGGACTCAGCTGGCGCTGCCGTTAGGAGGGGGTTGCCATGCCAGGGCGCAACTGGCCTTGCACTGGAGGCACCTCAGATACTGTGTTCTTATCCGGCTCCCGGAAAGTTCTCCTTCATCCTGGGGAATCCAGTGAAGCACCAAGGATCTGAGGTCACACAAGTCCTGTGCCTTGTCACCTGACCTGTCACCTTGAGGCCTGGCTGATGCCTGGCCCAAGGAGCAATCAAGTGTTCCTAGCAACAGGCTGGAGCCAATGGCCGTGGTACATCTTTAGGATTCAGGACCTGGGGACAAAGGCTGCATGGAGCAAGGCACTGTGAGGGTGCTTGTTGTGTGTCCGGGGACAGCTTGAGATGGGGAGCTGGCTGGACTGGCTGTTCTTTAGTGAGCTGGTAGTTGAGATGGGCAGGGAGCACCCAAAGGGGTGGGAAACTCCTGGAGCTGAACTCCTGTAGAGGCCGGTCAGGTCCGGTCCAGTCCGAGCCTGGGATCTGCTTTCCTTCCTTCCCCATCAGGCTGTTGTCCTTGCCTGCTGGACAGGGGCGAGGATGACCACTCAGGGACCAGCAGGGCCTGACAGCATTTCTCCTGCATGTCTGGGCTTTCCTGGCCAAACCCCCTGACCTCCTGGTCAGCTGCAGCCCAGATTTTGGGTGGGAGGCCGTATTCCCGGGTGTCCTTTACTCCCAGGGCGGTGGGAGTCTTCTGGAATCATCTGTATGTCACAGTCAGGAGAGGCCATTTTCCTCAGAGGAATCTTGTGTCTGAGGAGGTAGTGAGCAGGAGCTGAGGGGAACCTTGGCAATGGCCAGAGAAGTTGTGCACGCCTGAGTTCTTTTCCCTGGAGCAGGGCTTCTGGAATCTGCGTGAGTCGGGGCGGGGCCATGACTTGCTTCTGCCCTGTGACAGGTACAGGAGAACTCGCCGGCCCAGCAGGCAGGCCTGGAACCCTACTTCGACTTCATCATCACCATTGGGCACTCGAGGCTGGTGAGGGTCCCCGCTTCTCCCTATCCCCACGGGATGCCCAGCCTGCTTTGTGGTGGGTGGTCGAGGGCCAGAGGGACTTCTGGAGGTAGCCACCAGCCCTAAGAAGGCGGCCTTTCAAGGCATACAAGGCCTTTGGACATGGGCCTAAGAGGCCTTTTGCTTGCTTTGTTGTGCTTCCTGGCAGGCTTAGGGAATGAGGCTTGGTAGGACTTGGGGTGCCTGGAGCTGGGTAGTGACAGTCATGACCACAGTGGCTGCAGGCCCAATCCTAGCCCATGCAGCTGGACCCAGTATTGTTCGAGCATGTCCTCACACAGGCCCTCCACGCCCTGACCTGTGTGGAGGGGTGGGCAGCCTCAGACTGAGCCAGCCCCTCCTGGCCCATGCAGAACAAGGAGAACGACACACTGAAGGCCCTGCTGAAGGCCAATGTGGAGAAGCCGGTGAAGCTGGAGGTCTTCAACATGAAGACCATGAAGGTGCGCGAGGTGGAGGTGGTGCCCAGCAACATGTGGGGTGGCCAGGGCCTGCTGGGAGCCAGCGTGCGCTTCTGCAGCTTCCGCAGGGCCAGCGAGCACGTGTGGCATGTGCTGGTGAGTACCGGCAGGGCGTGGGACTGGGCAGGGTGGGGGCATGCAGAGGCCGGCTGGCCAGGGCCGGTGGGAGGGGCAGGGAGCAGAGGGCAGAGCAGAGCCCTGGGATATGGCTTTGCCCCAGTGTCCCTGTCCCCAGAGGACAGATGAACATTGCTTCTGTTAGCTGTGTGACCTTGGGCATTCCGGTTCCATTTTGTTGTGTTGGGACATGGTCTCACCGTGTAGCCCTCACTGGCCTGGAATGTATCGACTGGGCTGGCCACAAACTGCACAGACCCATCAATCAGCCTTTCTCGCCCGAGTGCCAGATTAAGTGTGCGCCGCCACCACACCTAGCACCTTTGGGCATTCTTAACTCTGTACCTTAGTTTCTTTCTTTTAAATTTTGTTTTATTATTTTGTGTATATGGGCGTTTTGTCTGCATGTATTATCTGTCGTCTATGCGCCACGTGTGTGCAGTGTCCCTGGAAGTCAGAAGAGGACCTTTGGTCCCCTGGGGTTGGAATTACCAATGGTTGTGAGCTGCCATGTGGGTCCTGGGAATCAAACTTGGGTCCCCTGCCAGAGCAGCTAGTACCCTTAACCTCTGAGCTGTCTGTGCAGCCCCACGCCATGGTTTCTTTTGAAGGGTGGGGCAGAATGAGCTGCCCCACATGGTAGTTTCTGTGACCTGTTGCTGTATAGCAGCCACATGAACCAACCTCAGTAACAGCAGCCCCAGATGTTAGCGTTCAGTGACAGACAAACACGCACACCTGGCACCTGTGTGCTTCGGTGGCACCCGAGTTCTCTGATGCTCAGTCTCCCGGGTTGGCAGAGGGAGTGCCCTGATGGAAGGTTTGCTGTTTGGGGTTCTAGCTGCCTCCCACGATTTATTTGGGGCATCTTTGCAGTCTGACTGCAAAGACAACTGTGTAGGAAATGGGCCGGTAAAGCAGCCCCCCGAGCACTCCTTAGGAGCAGTGGGGCCGCTTCTGGCTTGGGTGACATGTTCAGGGGTGCCTGGCTTTTCGTGTGGGTTTTGGAAGTGCACCTCTTCCTTTTGTGGTGTTAGAGCGTGCTTTTGTTATCTACGAAGCTCACGCTACCAAACCACAGCCTGGTTACAAAACAGCTCATAATTAGTGCTTTTTTTTTTTTTTTTTAAATCTATCTTATCTATCTATCTGTCTGTCTGTCTGTCTATCTATCTATCATCTATCTATCATCTATCTATCTATCATGTATATAACATTGTCTGTGTGTATGCCTGCAGGCCAGAAGAGGGCACCAGACCCCATTATAGATGGTTATGAGCCACCATGTGGTTGCTGGGAATTGAACTCAGGACCTTTGGAAGAGCAGGCAATGCTCTTAACCTCTGAGCCATCTCTCCAGTCCTCTAGTGCTTTGTTTTTATTCACAAATAGTTACATTTATTTTGTGTGGGTACAAGTGGGTACATGTGTGCCCTGGTACACGTGGAGGTCAGGACAACACTCCTTCCACCACGTGGGCTCCTGGGGGCAGAACTCAGGTCCAGTTTGACATTCTCTGCACTAAACTGGCTCGCTAGCCAATCCTGTATATATATGTATATATGTATATATATATATGGATGTATATGCACATGGATACGTACATGCTCATTTGTGAGTGCACGTGGAGACAAAAAGACAATCTTGGGTTCATCCCTGGGAATCTTGTTCACCTCCTTTGAGGCAGTGTCTCTTGCATTGGCCTGAGTTCAGCAGCTGGACCACACTCCTGGCCTGTGAATCCCTGGGCTCTGCCTGTCGCCACCTCCCTAGCCCTGGCGCAGACCACCTGGATGCTGGGGCTTGAACTCAGGTGAAGCCAGTGATTTACTGATGGCTCCGCTCCCCACCCCCTAATAGCTGTCCCGGGCCGCATGTGGCCATAGGCCATGGGCTGGACCCCCGAGCTCCAGTGGACCTCTCCTAGGAGGAAGGAAGGAGCCGCTTTCTTAGTCCTCATGTTTCCAGCCTCTGTCTGCAACACGGGCAACAAGGCAGCTGAGCTCAGGGCGCCAGGCTTTGTGGCACATACCTTTACCTGCTGTGGCAGCCCGGTGTCACGCTGGCACCTTTTCTCTCACGCAGTACCTTTTGAGATGGGTTCCTCCCTTCAAACCCCTGAGCTCATGCTTACACTCCACCACAAACCAGCTCCCTCGCCCCTGGCTTTCTTCTGTGGCTCGCTCAGCAGCCTTTTCCCAGGCCCTGGCCTGTGACTGGTATGGCAGTGGAGCCGCAGGTCAGATTTGGATTGCAGGCAGGTGCTGCCCTCTGCTGGCTAGACTGTAAACCTGGGGGAGGCAGAGAAGTGGGCCCTGTAAGAAGGAAGTCTCTCTTGAGGCTGTGCTTGGCAACAGAGGACAAGAGTTCTTCTTCCTAGAGAGACAGCCCCCTGCCTCTTCTCTCCGCTCAGCCGTGAGTCTTAGTTTTTCTTTCTTACCTCAGGATGTGGAGCCCTCTTCACCTGCTGCCCTGGCTGGCCTGTGTCCCTACACAGACTATGTGGTTGGCTCTGACCAGATTCTGCAGGAGGTAAGGAACCCGTGCCGTCTGTTTCCAGGCCCCCTGAAGGGTCGTGGACAGATGTGTTGTGCATAGGTGTCTCATTTGAGGCTTCCAGGCCAGCGCTGGGAGCAGCCCTCAGACACTGTGTCTCTCCTAGTCTGAAGACTTCTTTTCACTCATTGAGTCCCGTGAGGGGAAGCCCCTGAAGCTGATGGTGTATAATTCTGAGTCCGACTCCTGCCGGGAGGTGACTGTGACTCCCAATGCAGCCTGGGGTGGAGAGGGCAGGTACTTCCTGGGGTCACGGGGCTACAGGGCTAGATGGGTGGGCTGGCCCAGTGGGCTTGGGCTTCTTGCATCCCTTGGAGGAGACGGAACTGTACCCCAGAGTCCTGAGGTTCATCCCTGCCCAGGAGTGTCCTTGCTCAGTCATGGTTGTGGGTGGGGGTGGTATAGGTAGGGAGGGCTGTGTCGTGGACAACCCTGATTGAATGTCTCTGGCCTTCCGTAGTCTGGGGTGTGGTATCGGTTATGGGTATCTACACCGAATCCCAACACAGCCCTCCGGCCACTACAAGAAGCCAGGCGGGACCTCCCCGTCTGGTACTCCAGCAGCTAACACTCCACAACCTAGTGACGTGCCTCTTGGTGCCCCGCCACCGTGGCCCATCCTTCAAGATTCTTCCAGCCCAGAGTTGGGTTCCAGGCACAGTGACTACACGGAGGTTTGTGGGGAGACCTGTCATGGTAGGGATGGGAGGAATTTCTGGGGAAGCCTCCCTATGGGCCTGTGAGCTTCTTGTGCCTGGAGGAGGCCCATCTGCCCCGGTATGCAGTAGAAGCAGAGAGGCTCTGCTTGGGTTCAGGGAAACACGCTTCTGACTCAATTGCGCTGGGAGTAGAGATGAGGCACTGGTGCTCATTTTGTGAGTGGGAAATTGAGACCCTGAAATGGACAGAACCTTGTGCTGCAGTGAGGGAGGGACGGTCGGGCCAGTGGTGGACACGTTAGGATGCATGGTCCCCATGTGTACCTGGATTCAAGTGAGGCTCAGGGAGTATTCCCAGGTATTTGTGGATTACCCCCCCCTCCCAGAGTGTCAGAACCCTTTCTCAATGTGTCTGTTGCAGGGAGTATCTGGCCTGACCCCACCACTCATAGAAACCAAGGGTGATAACTATCTATAGTGCCGGGTGGGCCGCAGTCAGGCTGGGCACCTGCTTCTATACTGAATCTTTATTGGTACTGTCTTGACTCCCACTTTCTTCCTTCCTGGCATCTCTAGGCCCTGACACAGGTCCCCAGTGGCTTCACGGAAGAGCAGCTCCTTAGTCCTGGGAGTCCTAGCCATGGTGCTGCTGACTTTGGGGGATGCCCACGTTCCATGGAGATCCCTCTTCAGCCTCCACCTCCAGTGCAGCGGGTCATGGACCCAGGTATGGGACAGGCTCCAGGGGAGACCTGAGGCAGCTAGAGCCCTGGTGCTGAAGTGGGCTGCAGGCTCAGGGTTACACTCGTGTAGCAATGCCCCGGCTTTCCTCAGAACCTGCTAACCTGTGTTGTCCAGTCAAGGGCAGATGGACAGAAGCAGAGAAGGGTCTGGGCCCATTGCCATGGTCTACCCCATGATGTTCAACTCTTTTTGTCCCTCAGGGACAGCCTCCATAGCGTTTGGTGGAGGGTATTGGTAGGGCCAAAGGCAAGTTAGGAACATGGCAGGGGGAGACAGGCTCCCAGATTTCCAATAGTTGGGGTTTTATGTGAGCAGAGAACTGAGCTGCTCTCCTCCCCAGGCTTCCTGGATGTGTCAGGGATGTCTCTCCTGGACAGCAGCAATACCAGTGTGTGCCCCAGCCTGTCATCCTCCACAGTGCTGACCTCTACAGCTCTCTCAGCCTCGGGACCAGAGGACATGGGTTCCAGTAGCAGTTCGCATGAGCGGGGTGGTGAGTGACCTTCAGTGACGCCCCGAGAAACCCTGGGTTTGGGGAGGGCTGCCCTGAGATTCGAAGGTAGGTTAGGGGTTCACATGCTGTCTAACCTCCACCACAGCCTGACTGCAAGGGAGTGACCACTGAGCTTGGGTCTCCTTGGCCCTACTCTGTTTCAGGGGAAGCCACGTGGTCAGGTTCCGAGTTTGAGATCTCCTTCCCGGACAGTCCCGGTGCCCAGACCCAGGACCACCTGCCCCAGCTGACTCTCCCTGACGGACTCATCTCTGCATCCTCACCGGATGGGCTGTCTGCAGAGCTGCTGGAGGCACAGACTGAGGAGCCAGCAGACACAGAGACTGAGGAGGTCGCCCCAGAACCGCAGCCTGGGCTGTGAGAAGGGTCCGTGACCTTTGGTGTTGCTTAGCTTGTCTGTGTAGCTCCCAGAGGCATGGGCTTTGCCGCGGTCTCCTAGGGTCCCACCTTTACCCCAGTACATGGTCCTGGACTGAAGGGGCAGGGAAGCAGGGAGCAACAGCATTGAAGCCTCATGGGTAAGGAGAGGCAGCAGGGCCCGATCTTGAATGAGTGTGAAGACGAGGGACGAGAGGCTGTGTCTTCCAACAGCCCTGCCCTGTACTGAGGTGGGATTCCAAGTCCCAGGGGCCTCCCTTCCCATTCTAATCCTTATGCTGGAGGAGAGAGGTGTATACTTGGCCACTTTCTTCTCAAGTTGGAAAAGGCCCTTCTCAGGGATCTACCTGTGCTAGTGACACCTTCCCCTCCCCACAGGAGGGCACACAGTCTAGCTGTGGTGTCCCGTGACCCCTCCTACCAGGTCCCACATACAGACAACTGCCTGAATGCAGAAGGTATTCAGCCAGGTCTGATGGCTCATCGAAACCCCTCTACCTCTTTGCTAGAGACCAGGTGAGAGTGGGTAGAGGCCTTCTGTGTGTCCTTAGTATGAGGGAAACTCCCGAAAACTCTAGGTGCCTTGAGTTTAGAGGCCAAGGCTAGGGGAGGTTGTGGGCTCTGCTGGCTTTCTACAGGTGGTGCCAGGCATGTCCTCTGCAGCTGCAGTCTCCTGCATCATCACTGTAAGCGGCCTTTGGTCGTTTCCCATCTGTGTCCACAGACCGCATGTAACTCTATGTACAGGGCACTCACTGTGCTCAGAAGCACCGGCCCAGGTCCCAGATGGGCACTAGGAATACATTTAATGAGGGAGGCATCCCAGGGCCTCTTGGTGAGTGCCAGGAATGTGGGCACACAACAGGGCCTCCACCACAGGGCTGCTCTGGGGCCAGCTCACTTTAGCTCTGTAGCTAGGCACTCTGACCCCTGGTAGCCCTAACTGGAAGGTTCTGTTCCTGGAGAGACCCCCATGAGCAGGTTAGGACGGATGCTGAGGGTGTTTTCTTTCCCCGTAGTCTGCTGTGCAGGAAAACAACAAGTGGAAAATAAACGTGTAAGACACCGAAGTGTTTTAACTAAAGCTTTATTCTATACAACCCGAAATACAGACTGACCCTTCCGGCATTGCAGACTGTCCAATTTTCTGGAAACTTATTACTTATTTTGACTAGAGGGGAAAAGAAAGTACAACCATGCTGGGAGGTAAAATCCACCACAGGGGCACAGCTGCCCACCACTCAGTGCTGGGCCATAACCAGTAGAACCCTTAGTGCAGAGGCCCTTCCTGCAAACAGTGCTGAGGGCCAGCACCCCACCCCATCCCTTGCTTTAGTTCATGACCATCACTAAAAACACGCACCCCGAGTGCACTGTTGTGTCTAACACAGACAAAAAGGACTTCAGTAAAAAAGCTGTCAGTTGCTCTGAGGGAGAACATTTTAATGCCTGGGAAATGTCTTTGCTCACTTGAAGGTGTGGAGGCCATGGCATGTCTGTGCTCCACAGTTAGCAGTAAGGGGACCCTGTTCTGCAGTTGTGCGGATCGATGCCTCAATTTGTAAGGAACGGACCTGGACCCATCAGCTGCCCCCAGCAGAACCGGTGAAGATGTAGAAAAGCCAGCCCTCCCCAGTCCCTGCTCCTGTGGGGGACAGGCCACGTGGATAGGAGGCCACTGGACTGGAATAAACTGCCCCTGAAGGCACTTGTGCTTCTGGCTTTGTTCAAGGCTGTCTTCTGGAGTAGGGAGGGTGGGACCATCGATTTGTCTAAATGAGAATGGCCTTGGGAAGAATCCAGAGTTGAAGTATTTATCCCCAATAAGTTAATACTCTGTACAAGATCCAGTGAGTCTACGAAAGCTTTTGATTGTTAGAAAGACAGAGGAAAGATCTGGACGCAGGTATAACAAAAGCCAGCGTATAAAACTGGAAAAACAAACATGGACCACGATATAAATATCAAACCAACTCACTGTGAGATCTCTTTACTCTAATAACAAACTCTAGGTAGCATTCAAAGGAAACGGAAACTTCAGCATGGCCTTAGTTTTGACAGCGTCATGCTGCTCACCCAGGGCAGGAAGCTGTGGCTCCCGCTGGCTCTGCCTGTGAGGAAGACTGGGCGCTGGAGGAGAAAGAGTGGCCACAGCTGCTGTGCTGCCAGGTGACTACGGGGCAGTACTTCACTACACAGGCTGCTGCCTGCAAGTCCGAGTACTGTGCCCTAGCCTTGGAGTGGCAGGTCTTCCTACAGAGCAGAGCTGAGATTCGGTATTTCATGGCCATCTCTCCTGAAATGGGCTGGCTCTTGAACTGTGCAGCAGTGACAGTTCCCATTAGAAATAACTCTTACATGATGATGAAAACAACTTTTGTTCTCTGTAATGACAAATTTGGAAAAAGCCTTCATAGGTACTGCATGAGTGGAATGTACTTAGAAAAGCTGCAGAACTCGTGGGTTTGAAACTGAAACGCGCTGACAGATGGCCCCGCTGATGTTCTCTACCAAGTGCTAAGAGACAAAGGTGGGTCCTTCCAAGGAGTCAGCCAAGTCTGCACTGGCCTGTTGCAGGTTCTCTGTACATCTCGAAGGACAGTGCCTGGGGCTCGTCTGTCCTTGCACTGATCCCTGGGGACACCTTAACCTATGCATGGAGCCTGCTTCTATATTACATCTCGATTAGTCACGTCATCAAATCGGCCGGCGGAGTTCCTGCTCCCAGTAGGGCTTGGCGGGCTTCCTAGGACTACTAGGGGCCACAGAGGAAGGTTGATGAATAACCCAGGAGCACGGCCCACTCTTCACGTGGACTTCTGACGGTAATGGAGCGTGAGGTCTCCACCACTCTTCCATATGAAGTGCTTTACTGTTCGAAGGTCCATATTTGGGTCCAAAACCTGAATAGCCAAAGTGCATTGAAAACATTAAGGTCACTAACAGCTAAAGGCATCCTTAACCAGGGGCTCTGCCAGGTGGCCCAGTGTGCTCCCCACTGCCCTGTCTCTACTTCCATCCATGGAATCCGAAGTTGTGCTTCTGCTGCTCCACCAGCAGCACCGGCTCAGCCCTGCCTGAGGACACACTGTGCGTCTTGCTTGTAATTCCATCTTTTCTCCACCCACCTCCATTCCAAACTCTTTAACAGGACAGATGCCACCCTGCAAATCAAGATGCCACTGCCTCTGTTAACCAGGCACATTACAGATGTGGGCATCTGTAAAGCTGTGTCCTCTTCCTGTGCATCTATTTCCTTAAGGTGTGCTGAAGAACTTTTCCGGGAGACATGGCGGGGAGCGAGAGGCTCTTCAGAGCCCCGGGAGGTCAACGGCTTAAGAATCTAAGCCCGCGGTATTGGACTTTGTGGTTATCTCTGCAGGGAGACGACGAAGCTATGCTCCTCAGGTCCACTCACCTGGTCCTGGCACAGAAGTTCAATTTTCTCCTCTGCCAACACAGCAATATCCTCTTCCTTCTCCTGCTCTGGCTTTTCGTTATTAGAAGAGCTGGTGGTCTGAGACTCGTTGTCCAGGTTGATGATCTTCTCATAGACATGCTCCATCACCTTCCGGACCTGCAGCATGTCACTGGCAGAGAGTCTGTCTCTAGAAAAGACAATGACATGTTTTGACATCATGAAAACTTCTATTATTTTTCATTGTGTCAGCAACTCAAGTCACACAGACATCTAAAATCAATATATGTATTTAGTCATGGTCTTGATCCATTTGAGAGCTGTCAGAGTTCCTATGGTGCCCTCTAGGGCTCATGCACACACAATGGCTACCTGCATTTTACTCCAAGTACTGCCTGAAGCGAGGGCAGCCCTGGGTAGACCCACCGATTACCCAGGGCTCAGTGTTACTTCCCACTGCTGTGCCTTCAACTAGAAGCAAACAATAAACACCCCAGGCTAGACACTAAGCCACAGCCTGCTCCAGACCATAAACCCAGCAGCTGGCTTGTCATAAATTACACAACCAGAAGCCCTTTTTACTAAGCCCTTATCTCTGGTATGAGTCAATCATCAAACCTCTCAGCAAGGTTTAAACTCTTCAAGGAGCCTGAGGTTCAGTCATTAAGTCTACTTGAGAAGTGATGTCTGCACCTTGTGATCCAGTGTGTGCACGTGTGCATGCAGGCAGAGGTACAGATGGGACAGAACATTTAGCCACATGGTGGTCACTCCTCAAGTGTCTTGATTGGCCAGTGGGAACTGGTTCCTCTGTGTGAGCTCACGAATCTGGTGACAGTTCAGCAGTCCTGCTGGTTGTACTTGCTAGCACATACATGCTCATGGTTCACACTTCCTTGCTAGATTTCAACCTCTATGACGTTAGCCTCTCTTGGAGCCACATCTACCTATCAGGAATTTCTGGTGGTATGTCATGGCACGCTCTGCGATCTGGCATACAATCATGTCTTCCTCCTCCACCCCGAGCGGGAACATGCACCCCCATACCCATTTTTGGTATCTTGAGGCTGTTTCTGCTTGGGAATTGTGTCTTTGGCAGTCCACCCATCTGCACGTGTTCTGGTGATTCCTTCTAGAAACCTCCTGGAAAGCTCTGCTCAGAAGCTGGTTATTTTCCCATTCTCTTTCCTCCCTAAGTATCTGTAAAAGCAGCCACTACACACAGGTTTGTCCTTTAGAGACAGTCTCCCATGGCCTTGAACTGATCCTCCTCTGCCCACCTCCTAAGAGCTGGGATTACAGGTATGTGCCGCCACATACAGATTCCTTGGTCTCGGCTGGGCTGGAGCTTACTATATTGCCTCGGCTGGCCTCCTGCCTCTGCCTCCAAGTGCTGAGACTACAAAGGCACGAATCAGCAATTATGGGCTAATCTAAATTTTGGCAGGAGACTAGCTCCACAATAACCAGCCTCCGACCTAGCACCTGTCTCCCTGGTTACGAAGCAACCATAAGGACAGAGGCATCTGCAGTGACTGGATAAGGAAGCAATAGTTACTTACTTTTTTAAAGTTTTTGCTCCTGAAGATGCATGAGGTTGGAGGTAGAAAGGAATTTTGTTGAATTTGGGCATATTTTTCTGAAATATTAAAAGTTGAAGAGGTATAATACTTTCTATTAGCTGATAAAACTAAAATGCTGTCAATATGAAAACAAGATTTACAAGTAGCTATTTTTTACAATGACTTAATGTAATCTATAGTAAGTTATCAACTAAATGTGCCTTAAGAGAAAAATTTATCACCAAGTATGTTTAGTTTATAGTAAAAATAGATTAAGACAAATTATATGCAGTATTTGTGCCAAAAATAGGTTTTGTGGCATGGAATTTTAAAGCTGTATAAATCGAAACATTGGGGCTGATGACTAAAAGTCCAACCAGAAGCTTAAGCATCCTGAGAGAGCCCGAGAGCCTTCACTTGCTGCATGGGTGGCCGTCACCAGTGGGGGCTCTCCGGCTATCCCCCTGACAGACAGAGGTCTACCATGAAGAAAATACCCATTCTCAAATGATGGCTGACATCATCTGGTCATCCTTCTCAGGGCATAAGCCATGCCACAGGGTCAGTAATAGTTCTACATCCAAAGGAAGCAGTAGTTTATGGGAAGCTTGGACAGAGAAGGCCACAGGTGTAACATTGGCTTTAAGTTCTTAGGGTTGTATATCTGGGGTAGAAAGCAAATTTTTGAAAGCTTTAAGAGATTAAATCCCTTTTCATATGGCTTTAGGAATATACAAAATAGTCAAGAGGATGTAAGAACGTCTAGAAACAGACTGAACAATGTCTACAGGAATTTAGTGCATGAACTGACACAGCTTCCAGATTAGCAGAGACGAGAGACTTCACAGGCTGCACCAGCACAGGTAGAGCCTTACTTTACACCAAACACAAGAATAAATAACATAGGTACAGAGCCTAAGAAAGGAGGCTCTCCCACACCTATCCTGGATTAGGAAATACCTAACAAAACATGGAAGAACCCAGAGTCATAACTTAATGTGATTACACAAAAACTAGGTTTCCACCTGGGAAGGAACCTTGAACAAAGTAAAAGTTTAATGAAGGCACAGAGGAGTCAGGTTAATATGCAACGGAAGATCACCTACAAGTCAGTCAGAGAATGACCCCATTAGAGGGACGGCAGAGAACACAAACAGGCAGGAGATGGGGAGATGCAAATGGCCAATATGAAAGACTCTTAACCTCACCATGAATAAAGGGAAATGCCACATCAAAGTCATCAGACAGTATTCGCCTATCGTACAGCAAAGCTAAAGTGTCCAGTGTTGTGTGGCTGTGGGAACTGGACATTCGCACACTTGGCTCAGAAGTAAATTGCCTTTGTGAAGGGCAATTTGGCATTATCTATCAGAGTTTAAAATGTGCATACCCTTTGATCCAGCAATTCCACTTCTAGGAATCTATCCTAAAAAGCACACAAAGATACATGTACAAGGACATTCACTGCAGCACTGTTTGCAACAGAAAACACTGGAAACAACCCAAGTCCACTAATAAGGGGCTGATCAAATACAGAATGCTGCATTTACACAACAGAATAGGGTGCTGTCACTGAAAGGGAACAGTCCATTGAGTACAGGCATGAACAGATGTCCAAGACACACTTTTAGTAGAAAAAGTTGTACAACACTGTAAGAGATCTTGTGCAAAATAAAATGAGCTATACACTTGCACATGCACACATAATATATGCTCATGTAGGTGAAG